ATCACTGTGTGGGGTTAGCTAAATCCTTGCTCTCCTTGTGATGTTTCAGGAGCTGAGTGTTGTTTTTTAAGGATATTTTTTTGGGAAGTGTTAAAATATACTAAATTGCCTCATGCAAGGCATTTGTGTGATGATTTTAATTAATATAGAGACTACAGTAAGGAAGCTACTTTTTAAAATGTATGAAATTTACTATAGTTTTGAAAGAAAAAAAATATATCCATTAGAACTTGACTTCAGTGTTTAGATAGTGTTGATAATGAACATGTCTTTACTGATAAACTAGGAAATGTATTTTGTATGTAATTTAAACTTTTTAAAATTTTTTATTATCATCATAATCTTCTTTATATTACATTGGATTACATATAACTTTACAGTGTATTACATTGCTTTTTCAAAAGGGAATGCCATGCATGTCAGTAAATACAGAGACATTAATCTCCCCGCTTCAACATTCAATATCTTTTCTATGTTTTCTCCAATCATTATTATTATTATTCTAATTAATTTTTAAAACAGTCAATCGCTATTTCTCATTTTGCTTATAAAAAGACTTTGCCTATCATGAAATACTTCTCAGATCAATCCAGTTGAGAATACTATACCTGTCCTCATCAACAGGTAATAAGCCATATCTGTTTCTCACTAATGTCCTGCCTCTCTATTGTTCTCTTGTAATTTAAACTTTTTAAGATGTTTGTACTTAAGATGACTATAAAACTGTTACCGAGAAAACTGAACAGTAAAATTACGTTTTATGAAACATATGGGGTGAATACACTGAAAAACAAAAGTTAGTTGATACTTCTTTGTTTGACAGAATCTCATTGCATTGTGATCCTCCTGCCCCCCAAAGAGCTGGGACTGCAACATGTACCCCCATGCCTGGCTTCTAGGGAAGGCTAGGAAGAAACCCAGTCTGGGAATCCCATGTGGCTTCAGCCTGCCCGGTAGCAGCATTGGCCACCACACACGACCATGGGTGGGCTAACCAAAGTTAGTTAAAGTGTGCTGTGTAAACTGCTGTCCATGATGCAGTATTACCACAGAGACTGGCTGTTTTAGACGTTCACTGTGCCCTAATATTGAAATCATATGTAAATCTATGTTGCCATATTAAACTCCTCATAGCTCCTAATTACCTAACCAGGTTTCACACCTTCTTAGAGCTCTCATTTTACCTCCCAATGTGAACACGTGCGCTGGAACCTAGAGATTATGGTTGTTGCATCTCAAGTCACTACAACATGCATGTTCGGCAGCTCACATCACCACATGAGTATTAAATATGCATAGGCACAACATATATTTTTCTCGTGTTGTTCAGGATTAATTTTTCCCTGGTTCTGATCTTCCATGGCGTTCTTTGTTTTTTCATATTCCTAAGTGATGTTAAAGAATTTGGTTTCACATATATTTTTACTAGTACTTAGAAAGCATATATTATTTAAGAGTCAATGACATGTTTTTCCACAGTGAAAGCATTTTTATACATGCATGATAGTAGCCACTTATGATTGACTAAGTGAATGTACTAACTAAAAAAAAAAAAAAAAAAGAAAAAGTAACCTGCACGGGTAATGTCCTTCATTTTGACAACGGAAAAGACCCCATCGGTGGTGGTGTAAGCTGAGCCTCTCTAGGTTAATGCCAGCTTGGTTAGAAGCACAATACAATTACCACTGCAGCACTCAGTCTCATGGCAGGTCATTCATCTCGATTTGAAGGCAAATTATCATTCTAATCTTTTTATTGTTAGATTTGCAGAGGGAGTGATTTACTGCTGAGCGTCAGTTATAACTCCCTTTCTTGTCTTCTTGTGTCTAGCTCCTTGTGAAGGCAACACGTTCTTCTGCCACAGTAACATGTGTATAAACAATACCTTGGTCTGCAATGGACTCCAGAACTGTGTGTACCCTTGGGATGAAAATCATTGTAAAGGTAATGCTTAGTCCCTGACATTGCAAATTCCCGAGTGCATGAAGTGGGAAGGAAGTTTGTATGTGTTACGCTTTTTAATTTTTTTTAATTTATTTTGAGAGTATATTGTGGCTTTTATGAATTCAGTGCATGTCTCATAATTGATTCTGTAAGCATTTTACTTTGTCATTACTTGTGTGGTATCCAGGGGTATCTTCATTCATGAATGCACAGTGGACTCTCCCCAACACTTGAATACTCATTAAAGACATATTAGAGGGGCCAGCAGGTGGCATGGTGGTTAAGGGTGCTGGACTCCAAGATGACCAACTGTGGTTCAAGTCCCAGACCTGGCAGCTTGCTTTTTCACTTTCCCTCTCTCTCTTTCTCTCTCACTCTGTCCTTTTCTGGTCAAATTAAAATAAATAAGTAATAATCATTTTTAAAAGACATATTAGAGTCTGCAGAGCCATGGTAAAGATTGGAGCTTTTAGCACAGTGCTTTGCTTTCCTATCGTACCTGGTACCCTTTAATTTGTGACTGCATCTCTCATTTATTCTAACACTTCGTCTTCCTCGGACTTTGTGTACCTGTTCTAGAGATCAAATGTATTGAAGAAGCATTTGTGCTTTCAAGTACTTCCAGCCACTTAATTTCACTTCAATTTTGCAACCAACCACGAGGCTTTTCTTCCTTTCGAACAAAAATAGCTCCCAGTGCTCCTGTCTCCTTCTCTAGCCTGCACACAAAGATTTGTTTTGCAGACAGGTTTCTTGGCTCAGTTAGGCATGTTGAGAATTTTAGTTAGATTGTAAGTGCTGTATAGAAGTTTCTATTCAGATTCGATATTAAACAATTTGCAAAGAAGATTAAACAGGCCAATAACTCTTCCATGCTTAAAGTCCAGTATTACCTATTTCAATTCCTCCGCAGGTAGGAGCAGAGAAGCATTCCCATAGTAGCCGGTGTTTCTTACAGTCAATAAAAATGCAGGGCCAATATCAGCTATTTCCCAGTATTGGCTATCTCCCCGGTAGGGTGTTGGCAATGATTACTTTGTACCCAAGCCACCACTTCTGAATAGGTAGAGAATGCAATCGTTTCTGAGCTATCTCAATATGGCACTGTTAATGGTTAGAGTCACCACTGGCCTTGCTTGCCCATGGTCAATTTGTTGCCATATTTGCAACGAATATTTGACATGAGTCTCAATCAAGAAGATGTGCGTTGATATGCACTAGCAAAGTCCAGGGTCACTTTCTTCAGAGAGTAGAACCATTCTTTTGATTTTTAATTCACCCCCTTGTGGTGGGATAAAATACTTTTTATGATTGCAAGCATTTCTCATTTATTAGCATTCACTTTATGACAAAGCTTGTGGTGTAGCCTAAAATGTGTTCCTCGTGTCCTTGAAGAGAGAGTGTATTTGCTGTTGAGTCGGTTGTTCTATACATACCTGCCTAGTAGCTTTATAGCATTGCTCCCATTTTCTGTTTCCCTTTTGATCCTCTCTCATTTTTTTATTCATTATTAAGAATGAGTATTAAACTTCTCAACTATTATGATCGAACTGTATGCTTCTCTCTTTGATTCTTTATAGAATTGCTTTTTGTTTGAGATATTTTTTAGCTTGGTTTGTTTGGTCCCTATATGGTTGTAATTGTTATATCTTCCTGAAAAGTTTTTATTACTATAAAGCCATTTTTTTGAGAGATTTTTTTGCTTAGGGCATATGCACTTGCCAGAAAGACAGAGAGAGACAGAGAGACAGAAAGAGAGAAATCACCTCCTGGGGGGATGGCCACGCCGCAATCCCTGCTCCTCCATTCTTCTCTTGGGATCTTGAGCGCACACGCACACGCGCCTGACGTGAGTTTAAGCTACCAGGTCCGGGACTCAAACCACAGTGGACTACTTGAGAGTCCAGTGACATAGCCATTATGTTAACTGCTGGTCCCACTATAAAACCATTTTAAGGCTAGTTGGTGGCATTATGGTTAAGGCAACTGGACCCCACATGGCTGACAGCCATTTGAATCTCAGACGTGGTGGCCTGAAAACATGTGTGCTCCCTGAAATCACGAGAGGACCGGTGTGTGGCCCATGTCTCCCCTGGAGGTGCTTTCTCACTTCCCTGTCCTTCTATCGCTCCCCAGTGAGCCCATCTGCCCTATAGCAAATGAAAAAACAAAAGCGAAAAACAAACAAACAAAAAGCTATCTTAAAATGTTGTTACATTTTTGTCTTAGGTATATTTTGTAGAACATTAATATACATAGCCACTCCAGAGTCTTATGATTGCGGTTCCCATGTTTTATTCTCATCCCCGTACTTTCAGTCTGTCCGTGTCTTTGAACATGAGGTGTTTCTTCTGTAGACAAGTCTTTAGTTGGATCTTCATTTTGTCCAGTCTGACAATCTCTGCCTTTACACTGGGTTGTTTAATCAATTAATATTTAATACTGTTGTCAATAGAGTTAAATTGCATCTACCATTCTACTTTTTATTTTCTATATGTTTTGTATATTTTCCCTCTATTATTTTATTGCTTTAATCTGCATTATGTGACACTCTAATTTTTTGAATGACATTTCAATATATATTTTAGTTCATTTATTACTATTATTATTATTATTGTTTGCTATGGGACACATACACTCACCAGAGACAGAAGGAAAGTAATTAAGAAAGCACCTTCAAGGGGGAGATGGCCACGCTGGAGTCCTTTCTCCTCCATTCTCCCATCAAGATTTTAGGCATGCATGTAAACATGCCTGGGAGTTGTTTTCAAGTCACTGGGTCCAAGATTCGAACTGCACAGTTAGCCACGTGGGATCAAACTGCCTTAACCACCAGGTCACCTGTTGGTACTTTTAGTGACTTTGTTAGTGGCTGCTTTAGGACTTAGAGTATATAGATAGCTTAACTTCTCAGGATATATTTCAGATTTAATGAATTATACTAATTCCATTCTAGTGAACTATACAAACATTATTCATATATAGTTCTATTCTCTCTCTCTTTTTCCTATTATTTTTGTGCTATTACATTTATTGTGTTACAAACCCAACAATACATTGGAATAAGTATTATTTTAACTAATTTTACGTCTTTTAAAGAATTTGAGAAAGGAAAAGAGGAGTTTATATTAGTATAGTTTGCTATATGACTTTCTACGTACAATTTCTGGTCTTCATTGTTTTTTGTAAATTTGCTTTACCCTCGGTTTTATTTCCTTTCTCCAATAATAGTTTCATTTTCACCTGCTTTCTTTTTACTGGTATCACCAATTATATTACTTTGAAAAGAACTTTATGCAGTATTTAAAAAAAAACACTGACTAAAAATTTCACTGCAATACTACAATTTTGCAAAAGATTGTAAACATTGTGCACATTCGTCAGGCCTTTCTTTTAGGAAAAGTGCTATTTTTATGACAGGTTAACAAATACGCACTATTGTGCACTCCTTAAGACAATGCAAAAAAAAGTTTTGAATTGTTTTTCTCTTTCTAAAATTGTAAACGTAAGTTTATCATTTATAATTTGTTCTTGCTTTTTTTGTCTTACATTCACTATCCACCACCCACTCCCTCCTAACTCCTTTCCCTCCTCCTGTCACTAGCCTCCACAGCGACACAATCCACCATCTCTTCAGATCTCTCAGCCTCTGCTGTAAAGTGCAGATACCCAGAACAAGTTGAGTAGGGATATACAATGTATGTCTTTTAAAATATAGCTCCCCTCACTAAGCCTTCAGTCTTCTATATTCGTCTATTTTAAGTGCAACATGGGATCTCATTGTTTCTTACAGCTGTGTGATATTCCATAATATCTATGTGCCACAGTTTTCCGACTCAGTCATCAAATTTTGGAACTGAGGTTGGTTCCACATTTTAGCAATTATAAATAATGCTGCAATAAAAATAGGTGTAAAGATGTCTTTCCAATGAGTGTTGTCTTATTCTTTGGGAAGATACCAAGGAATGGGATTGCTGGGTCATATGGAATTTCTATTTGTAAATTTTTGAGAAATATCCATATTGTTTTCCAAAGAGATTAGACTAACTTACATTCCTACCAACAAACCTTAGGAATCTTATTTAAGAAATCTTTGCCTAGCCCAATGTCCTTAAGTTTCCCCTATGTTTTCTACTAGTTTTGTGGTTAGGGGCACATTTTTATAAGTTCTAGGCAAAACAACACATTTATATACACACAACATTACTTTTCTAAAAAGTTAAATGAGGAATGTAAAAGTAATATGGCACTCTTCTACATAATTATCTACATAATTGGCCATATTTATTTGCCTGTTTATTATATTGCCTTTAGTTTTTTTTTTTAATATTTTTTGGATTACTTTCTGAGGTTACTTATTTTCAACTCAAAGAATTTCTTTCACTACCTTCTTTTGAGGCAGCTTTTTGAATATCAAATTACTTTCATTTTTGTGTTTCTGGCAACGATTCCATTTCATTTTTAAAAGTGGTTTTATTGGATATCACAGTTGTGGTTGACAGGTTTGTTGCTTGTTTTGTTTTGCCTAAGCTTTCAGCACGGTCAATATGCCATCGAACTCCCTCCAGATCCCCATGATGACAAGTCAGCTGTAGTTGCTCCTTTCTATGTGATGAGTTGTTTTATTTTATTTGTTACTTTCATTATTTCCTCTCTATCTTTGTAGCTTCTTTTTCTTTTTTTTAAGCATTTTTAATATTATATGTCCCTTTCAAGAATTTCTCTGTACCTTCGTTTTTGACATCTTTAATACTGTAAGTCTTGTTATAGATGCTTTGTCTGTGTCCTGCCTGCAGTGTGCTGAACTCGAGTTCATTTTCCTGTTGTCTGGGAAGTTTGTAGCCTGTAGTTTCTGAATGCTTTTATCTCTTATTCTCTCTCCTTTCCTTCTATATTCCCCTGCATTATGTTGCTGTGCTTAATGATTTCCCACAGTTTTCTGAGGCCCTGTTAATTTTCCTGTATTTTTTTAACTCTTCTTCAGATTGCATCATTTTTAATCCCTTTATGTTAAAGTTTGCTGATACTTTCTTTTTTTCAGCTGAAATGCTGATGAGTCACACTCGGAAATTTCCATTTCAGTGATTACACGGTTTGACTCAAGGATTTTCATTTTTCTCTCTTACAATTTCAGTCTCTGTTGATGTACACTATTTGATGAGGTATTGTTCTCATCTCCTGGAATTTCTTTAATCACAGTCTGTTTACTTCCTTAAGCATCTTGATTATAGCTGCTATGAAATCTTAGTCTGCTAAGTCTGGTATCTGGCCCTCTCCAAGGTACTGTCTTCATCTGCTTCCGGCATTTTCTGTGTATAAATTGCATTTCCTGTTTCCTACCTTGCCATGTACAACTTTGTTAGAAACTGGACAAGTTAGATAGTGTATGCTAGCCACTTTGGACATGGAATTCCTCCTCCCCAGGGCTTATTGTAGTTTTCCTGTTTATTTGGTTTTGTGTGTTTATAAATGTGGTTGGTTGGATTAGTTCAGTTCAGCCTCCGATGCTGCACTCCAGAGACCCTGGCTGTGCGAGCTGTCACCCTAGGATGGTGCCATGGGTCTAGCAGCTCTCTCTGTTGCTTTTCCTTTTCTCTCTGTTTAGTGATCTACTGCTATTATTATCACACCCAGTTTCAAATGTTTTTGACATTGTCCAGGACCTAAGGTGTTTCACAATCTGACCCAACCGAATTCAATTCACAGAAAAGGTAGCCTTTGAGTCCAACCCAGGAGGACTCTTTTCAACTCTTACTTTCCTGGCTCGTTCTGTTAAACTTTTAGATTTTCTAAGGTTTGGCATGTTGCTATTTAGACACTAACAGACTCTTTTTATTTGCTTTCCATAAAGTAATAAAAACAGTAGTTTTTTTTTTAAAATAATTATTTATTTTATTTTTTCATTTATTCATTCATTTATTTTTTATTTGACCAGAGAGAGACAGAGGGTGAGAGTGAGAGAGAAAGGAAGTGAGAAAGCAAACCACCAGATTCAGGACTCAAACCCTGGTCGGTCATGTGGGATTGTCCAGTGCCTTAACCACCACACCACCTGCTGGCCCCTAAAAACAGTAGTTTTTTTGAGATTATCCTTACCCTGGAGATTATACACATTCTATCCCAAAATAAATTAGCTTCCTTTGGTGAAAGCTATGGTATCTCTATTCTTGTAGCTTGACTCTCTTTCCAAGAAAACGTTCTGCTCCAGAAGGGTGCCAGGACAGTGACCACTTCTCCCAGAGTGACACCATTGCTTTGTGAACAGTCTCTGAGTGAGGATGGTGACATCTGGTCTTCCCTACTTGGCACTCGAAGCCGTTCCCCTCTGTGAGAGAGCTGGGGCCAGTGAGAATGGAGCCCAGCATCTGCAATAGGCTTTGCTGGTGCCTAGCTTCTGCCCCACAAGTGGGGATGGGGAGGAGAAAGGGAGCCATGCATCTCCACCACTCTGGCTGGAAGTGCATGCCTGCAACATGGGTCCTAGGGGAGGGGAGAGGGCTGAAAAATGCTGGCAGCCTGACACTCCTGGGGAGATACTGTAACACTGCAGCTCTCAGACTGGGTGCTGCTGGGACTGGCAGCCCAGTGTTCTCCGCCCACCTTAAATAGAGGAGACCACATTGCTCATGAAGGAATGAAGGCAGAGGGAGCCAGGTGGGACTCCAATGCTACAACTCTGTGTTCCCAAAGAAATGTAGATTTGTTTAAATCAAGGTATATTCACTTGCTTAGGACAATTGTCAAGTTTCATCAAGCTGTACTTTAAAAGGTTGCATTTTTAAAGTATCTTTTGCCAATTTTGGTTATCTCATGTGGGGAAGCTCATGCAGGCCCTCATGCCACTATTATGAAAGGGTCTGTCTTGAAGTCAAAATGAATGGCCTTTTGGTAACACAATATTGCTACTTTGACGTCAGTTACCCCTGTCACCAACAAGTACAAAGGACAGACTCATGTTACCAGTAGTGCAGTTCATGGTTTTCTTACAGCTACGAGAAGAGAAGAGTGTTCTGCTGATAGAAAGGCCAGTTCATTTCCAATGTCACGCTAAGCATTTTAGAGGTTTTTCATATAAATTTCACATGTGCCTGTGTGCACATGCACACTTGTCTGTTGCTTGCCATCCCTGGCTAGAATCTCTGGGAGGAAGGACTGCTTTTAAAGCTGGAAGATTAGAAAGTTAGGGCCTCTGTGGAAAGTGAGACTTTTCATTTATTTTTAAATTTCTGATGCTACTTTAAGCCTGTAACAATTCTATGCTCAGCTTATTTTATCTGAGAGTTCTCGTATGCCTTTGACTGCAGTATTAACGTGTGGTGGGTTGTTTCTTGTTCTGTCCGTTTGTTGTCTTTGCTGTTTCCGACCTATAGAGAAGAGGAACACCAGCCTGCTGGACCAGCTGACCAATACCAGTGGGACTGTGATTGGCGTGACTTCCTGCATCGTGATCATCCTTATTATCATTTCTGTCATTGTACAGATCAAACAGCCTCGTAAAAAGTATGTCCAAAGGAAATCAGACTTTGACCAGACCGTGTTCCAGGAGGTCTTTGAACCTCCTCACTATGAGCTGTGCACGCTCAGAGGGACAGGGGCCACGGCTGACTTCGCAGACGTGGCGGACGACTTGGAAAACTACCATAAACTGCGGAGGTCATCTTCCAAATGCGTTCACGACCATCACTGTGGATCTCAACTGTCCAGCACTAAAGGCAGCCGCAGTAACCTCAGCACAAGAGATGCTTCCATCTTGACAGAAATGCCCGCGCCGCCCGTCAAGCCCCTCATCCCACCCATGAACCGAAGAAATATCCTTGTCATGAAACACAACTACTCCCAAGATGCTACCGAGACCTGTGACATAGACGAAATCGAGGAGGTGCCGACCACGAGTCACAGGCTGTCCAGACACGACAAAGCCGTCCAGCGGTCAGTATCCATAGATTTTTTGATGACAACTATAACCTGAGGACTGAAATCCTTCCAGGATATTATGTTCTCTTATGTCTCCATATTTCAGTTTCCCTTTAATTAATGATTGAAACCATAGTGTCTCAACATTTTTCCTTCTATTTCCTTTTCAGTGCTACCCATACTGTCCCTAAATCACGTAAATGCGCACCTTGTGTAAATGTGTGTGAGCACACACACGCACACACACACACACCAAAGATATTTAATCTATGTCTCTACATATACAAATATTTATTTCTGCAAAAAAGTATGGTTTTAATTTGTAATAAGATTTATATTGCTGATTTGCCTACACATGGTCATAGAAGTTACTCCCATCAATATTTATATATTTCAACATATGACATGATATTTGGAAACAACTGCCTTAACAAGATGGCTATCCCATCTTGTCGAATAATTTTAATGCAAAAATAACATATTTTGCAATACAATGTTTTTATTTTGGGTATGAAAATGAGAATATTTTTCTTCATATTTTACCAGATACTTATAGTACAAATTACATATCATAGCATGATATACTTAAATACTAAACACTTATTTTTTAACATAGCAAGAATTAGTAGAAACGTTAACTTAGTTTTTCTAAATATAAATACAATATTATCTATATTGTATTACTAACTCTGAAGTGAGTAAACTTGGAGGAAAGAAAATTTAAATTTAGAAAAGTTATTTTAAATTTGATAATCCCAGTCTACTTATGCTTTGTATTGCATGTTTTCTAGCTTTTAATTTGTCATATAAATTTACATACTTTCACTATTCATTATATATTCTCAAAACCTAAAGTATTTTAGTTGATTTAATATATTTTGCATGCTGATCAAGAAAAGTCTATTTCCACAATTTTATGAATTTTAGAAATGCTTTTAAGTAAATATTTGTGTGCATATATTTATTTTTGTGCAAATATTACTTTATTGAATGAAATAGCCATAACATTCCAGGTTCTGCCTCATTGGGTCTCTAAGCAAACATGAATCTGAATACAACACAACTAGGGTCTAAAAAGAAAATTCAAGGTAAGCAAATGCCCTTGGTTCCTTCTCCCACTCTGTTGTATTCTGTTTTGTTTTGTTTTGTTGCAATTGTCTTGTAGTTTTTAAGGGAATGTGCTATTTATTCATTTCTTGAGATCTGTGTTTCATGACATTTCATAATTAGACACTTGATGGATTCAGAGCTAATAAGGAGATGATTCTTAGCTTACAGATCTTTAAAATGAATGTTAATCTTACCATCAAGCATTGTACTAAAATGTTATTAAAAGGATGTTGAATTAATAAGCTACATTTTACATGTTTGAAGGTAAAGATACTAAACTTAATAAACTCTCGTCAAAGAAATACCAGAAGAATGCCAAACCTTTTAAAATAATTTTTTTAAAAATACAGAATATTCAGTCTCAGTCTAACTGAAGTCAATATGTAAAACTGGTAATTACTTTGCTCATGTAATTTGGCAACATTCTACTAAAAACTCATACACTAAGTATTAGGTGGTACTTATACCATTTATGCACTCTTATTTTTGCATGAATGTATGGCTGATCTCATCGAAATTAAATGCAGCATGTTATGTCAAATTTTATAACCTAAAATTTGAATGCTTGACAATGTCAAAGGTTTCGTCTATACCAGTTGTCTGTGTGCACATCTATATTGTCATCAGCTATCACAGTGGCTTTGCTTTTTGGCTCTTGATAGTCTTTAGCTATGTTAGCCTAAGTCGTCTCCAATTAAATTTGCTCGACAGCTAATACCTTCAAAACTCTTCAAGCCTATCAACTATTCTTGAATTAGGTGAATGCATTTCCATGCTTTATATTACCTTGATCAATTGGTGTACGTGTGTGCAGTTTTCATTGGGAGAAAATGTTTTAACTGTGTTTTATTTTCAGAGAAGAACTATTTATACACACATGGGGACTGTGAACAGAAAATTCTATAGTGAATTGTGAAAAGTGGACCTATTTCTAAACTCATTCCACTGCCTTTATCCAAACTTAAGAATCACAGACCTTTGTCATTCCTTCGGCAAGACATCCCCGCTGCACAATGATATGTTCATTTCGTAATTTGGTTGCTGGCCACCAAGTGCTCCTTAGTTTTTAAATACATTTTGAGATTAACTGGAAACTTGAAGAAGAAGTTAGTTCCTGATTAAGACTATCCCAACTTTTCTTTTCCTCTCAGCGTCACTTTCGTTTCCGTGTTGTTTCATGTCTTCGTTATCTAATCGTGTATTGTGTGACGTGTGGAAACACCAACCTGGATGTACTCCATGTGCATTGTTTTCATTATATAGACTGCTTGAGAATAGTGGCTTCCGGGTGATTTTGAACACGCTACAGCGAAAAGTGAGGCTGTGGACCGTGGAAACACCAGCTAGAGGTTTTACGGACGATACACACCTGTTGTCATATTATATTTAAGTGCAGCAAAGAGTAACGAGTAAAACTACTAGATTGCAATAAAAAAAATCTCATTTTTGATCTTTCCCACATGTCCTTAATTACATTTTTGTTTTATAGCAAAGGAAAATACTGTGTTTCAGAAATAGTTTTTGAAACCAGGTATTTTGCCTTTCATACCCTACAATAGAAATGTTTTTGATTAAGCACTTAGCAATATGACTGAATTGACAGTTTGAGAAAATTCCCTGCATGTCAGTACTGGATATTTGAGTTGGGAAAATATCCTTTTTATTAGACACATTGTAAAAAGCATGCATTCTCCAATACTGCTGTTATTATTCCATTTCTTTGTGTCATATGCTTGCTACTTGTAACTTTTTATATAAAGATATATAAAATGTACAATAATTTCCTAACTTGAGTTAAGTGAAATGTTTTCTTCTATTAGTGGGACAAGAAACTGACTGGCAGAAGTACACACTTTCTATCAACTCTTTCCACCTTTTAGGGTAAAAGATATTCTTTAGTACTGACGTTTACTTCCCCAAATATTTGATTTCTAAAATTTTATGGAATATGTTCTTTTAGAATAGGAAAGTCTTTTGTAAATGCTTTAAAATCACAGACCCTTTAATGCCCTCAATTATACCATTCTGAATTATTCTTCTACTCAGGCACACATACGATACTTGGAAACGTCATGATTATGATGTGTTTCATACAAATAAAGTGAAATCCTACAATATATTTAATCGCTGTTGAATTGTATACACACTCTATAAAGCTGGATTCAGTGAGTGCATACTCCTAAAAGTACCGATGTGTGTTCTTAGAAAATACATTTGGAAAGCCAGAGTTCTTGTAAATCCGCTTACCAGCATTTTCCAAACGACTAGATTTTACAAGTGAAATGAATTCTGTCCTTCAAAGTGCAAAGCAGTCTTATTTACCACAATTCAGACCTTACAACTCAAGCAGGTTTTACAAGCCAAATACATAAATCACTCTCATATATCCATGTTGGAAATTCAATTTTATATGTGTTATTAAAAGAAATCAATGGGAAATAAGTTGTTATAATAGATAAATCAAATAACCATCAGAGTAATTCTGAAAACTCTGTATTAAGCAAATGTTAACCTACAGAAATAATCACTTTCAGGAATTTGATAGACTGGTAAATAGAAAAAAAGTTTTGAACACACTGAAAAAAGATTATTTTTCATTGTTATGCTGCATATTTTTCTATGCATTGCTTGTGATAAAATTTACTCTTTTTTTTTTCTGGCTTGAGTGATCTATTTATTGCGAGGTTACTTTTATGACTTTTAATTCACAGTTAATGCACCAAAGAATTTTTTTTGAAATGATTAACCATATTTTATATCGCTTTATTTATTTAGGAATCTTCCTAAAACCTTTTAATGCTGATTGAATAATCTAAAAAAGTGTGATAAACCTGTCAAGACTTTATTATAGTATAAATAAAGACAGGAAAATTAATTGGATGAACAATTTACCTTTTGCTTGTCCTGTATACCCAAGGTCCCCATCCCCTCCGGCTCTTCCTAAATATGCAAAATGCTACAGACTTGCTGGCACTCTGTTTCAAATAAACCCCCTAGCAATATTCTTTTCTTTTAAAACACCAAACTAAGCCAAGTATGATGATAAGAATGGATAGCTTATGTGTAATTAATACACAAGAGCATCATGGGTAAGCAAAATATTTTAGATGAAGACTAGGTTTCCACAATGGTCATACATAATAAAGTTGGTTATTAATGGGTAATAAATAATATAGTTATTCATTAATGGTAGCATTGTAATAAGAAAGGAATTCAGTGGTAATGCAGCATTCTTGAGGCATCTGTTCATCACTGGCAGTAAGTAAAGGTTGCATCTTAGGGTGCAGGGCTGGGAAGTGTTCTTAGGGGATCCTGGAGGTACCTGTTCAAAAGATAGTATTGAAATCTATCCATGTGTTAAAAACTATTATTTAGCAACTATAATACATTAAGTATTTTCACCTTACTGTCAACCTTTGGTCTACATTCTAAAGGGAATGACACGTGTAGGTAAGAAAGGCATTTTAAGATGTTTAAATCAAGTATTTTTAATAAATAATTATATTTTTGATAAAGTGAACTCAAATATTCCTAATGCAAATGCTATATTAATTCAAGAAAACATTTACAAGTAATCTATTCAGTTAGCCTGCTATGTTAATTTGATAAGGCTATTTGTTCATGTTATTTTTCCATGTTTGAATTCACATTTCAAAGTCTTGGCAGCATATTGTAATCACCCACAAAACTATGAAGTCCCAAAGCAAGCTTTGTGCTTCCACCCAGCTGCATTTTATTGCCTGATTCAAACTGGTCTGCTAATTTGGAAATCGGAATTTGGTACCTGTGTTTATACATATGCCAGTTTTACGCAGGATATTGCCATGTGCCATACCTAACGTTGATTTGATTAGATCATTAAAATGTGGCTGTACACATAATTGGAAATCAATATCTTTGGGCTCTTAAGGAGAATGATCCACATTGTAAAGATGTCGGATTTTTTGTTTCACATATTTTTTTGCCTTTGTTAACAGCTTTATTGAGGTATAATTTATACACCATGAAATCTATCCAATTTAAGTGTGCACTTTAATGATTTTTACTAAGTTTACAGAGTTGTACGACCATTACCACGATCTGGTTTAAAAACATTTCTGTAACCCCAAAAAGATCTGCTCTGCTGACTAAAATTAAAAAAAAAAAATTTACTTTTTTCCTTGTTATAGAACACAAAATTACTTCAGTCATTTTTTAAATTTTTATTTAAACCTATTTTATACATTCAATTACTGTTCAACATTACAGCTACTCAGCATGGTGCGTTTGTCACCAGTCCAGTTGAAGATGTCATACAAGTTATCATCAATAGGCAATCCACCTCTGCTGTGTCCCTTTTTTCTTTTTCTACTGAGTACTTTAATGGGTCTAACTGAATCCATAAGCTGTGATTCTGTGTTTAATAAAGGTTGATCTTTAACCTTATTTGAATATTTACTTAAGCAATTGCATTAGCTCTTTCCATATTTTCCTCTTAAGAAATTGAGTGTTTTTGTCAAATTTTATAGCTTTTTTAAAAATTCCATGAATTGGTTTTTCTCAGTCTCCAGATACCAAAATAATTTGCAAAATATGGTCCTGGTTCTCATTAACGTTATTGAAATAAAAGCAAGTAATTCGTTGATCTTTGGCAGTAAAACAAATAATAGCATCTTCTTCTCTTATTGTAAAGTTTGTATATTTTGATGGTGAAAATGAATCATGTCAGATTCCAACTCTGGAGGGAGGTTAAATAAATAAAATCTTAAAGTGTTTCTGAATCCTAAGTCCATGTGCTCCGAGAAGTGAGTGGAGGTTTTGTCTGACAGCACTGAGGAGAGCTAGTTTCTGTGCAGACTTCCCTGTGGATCCTCCTCTATTGGTCCATTTCTGTCTATCACAGTCTGGCCTGAAGGACTCAGCCAAGAAATTGTTCAATAGCTATAAGAATAAAAGAAACAAGATTTGAGTTCATCTGTTATCCAATAAATTTATATTTCCCAAGCCCCTTTTAAAGTTAAATAAAATAAAACCATTTTGTTAAAACTAGTCAGAGACGTGGTTTTTAAGCCTGTTCCATAAATCTGAGCCCTTTATTAATTTCAAGTGACCCTGATTCATTTTATCAATGCATTTGTTTAAATCATACTACAGATTTCTCTAACTTAATAGTATCTTTCAAATAAAGATATTATTATTAAAAAACAATGTCTTACTTTCCATCTCTCTGTCTCTCTCCATTAGCACATGGGCCCTTGGCTAAACCTAAAAAAAATAATAAAAAAAGACAAACAAATCATTTTATATCAGATGAAATAATAAAAATAACGTGCTATAGATGACTGATGATGTCTGACACTCCTAGCTCATTATTCTGCATGTCGCCTTCAGTTCTGCACCTTCTCATGTGTTGTCAAAGTGGTAAATTGTCTCTTCATATACTTCTAACTCTTCAGAGCTAGGAAGAATAAACTCAGTCTGTCAGGCATTCATCACTGGCTTGGGCTGGTTTCCAGAACGTTCTTATTCCTGAACCAGTATGGTCATGTCGTTAAATCACTCCCTTGTAGCCATAATAATTATGCAGTCAACTTGTTCTGTCTCAGCTTCTACCACCCTGCCAAACTCTGAGGCATGCTGCTTATGGTGATTTGTTCTTTTAAAATTCTGTTCATGCCCCTTTTTAATGATCACAGGTACTAACACACAGTTTAGAAGTAACCAAGAATTATGCTCTATAAGTTATTTTAAAACATTAAAACAATTTTATATTAGGACCAGCAGGTAACATGATGGCTAAAGCTCTGGACTCCTACATAGCTGACCATGGTTGAAGTCCTGGACCTGGTGGCTTGGAAATCACTCCAGATGCATGTGTGTGTGCTCGAAATCCCAAGAGGGGGATAGAGAAGGGATTATGGTGTGGCCATCCCTCCTGGGGGGTAATTTCTCACTTACCCTCTCCCTGTCTCTCCATGAGCACATGGGCTCTTGGCTAAATCTCAAATAAAATGAAAAGCAAATTGTTTTATATATCATATTTTATATCACATTATTGTATTCTTTATTCACTTTCCCAAAAAGTAATGTTTGATACCAGTAGGGCCAGCCCATTTTTAGCCTCTGTAATCTACATATACCAAGCTTCTTTCTAAGTACCTGAGGACGAGAAGAGAACAGCCAGCTGGGGGCACAGTCACAGGGCTGTGTGGAGGAAGGGTGTGGGCGCCTGGGGACCCTGTGCAAGGACACTTACATCCAACATCATTAACTGTGTTTATAAGCTAATTGCACAATCCTCGTAACCTCCCCTGTCACCACCTGTGGAAGATAAAACATATACAACTCTCAAGATAATACACATTTACATTTCGTAATCGAAAAGGAAGAAATCCTGTCATTTGTGACAAGAGGAGAACCTGGAAAAAATAATTATAAGTGAAATAAGCCAAGCACAAAAGGCAAATACTCATTAGTGGAAGCTAAAACATTAAATGACAGATACCAGAAGCTGGGACGGAGAAGGGAGCGGGACAGAGGGGGTAGAGAAACTGCTGACAGATACAGAAGTGCAAGTAGGGTAAGTGAACTCGTACTAGAGGACAGTACCGTATAGAGAGTATCTGTGTGTGGTGATCATTCAGTGTATACTTCAAAGCGGCTGGAAAAGGGGATTTGGAAAGTGCACAAGAGAAAATAATGATAAAGTTTGTGATGGGGGTGTACTTACTGTCCTGATTTGATCATTAGCCATGGTATTCATGTATTTAAAAACTACACTGTACCCTTTACATACATACAACTAAAACAGATACATTAAAAGAGGATCCACACAGGCTTTGTGAATACTTGACCTCAGTGGATCTGGAAGGATGGATACCATTGTCCAATAGTGATGCTGGGAGAAATTCTACCTGGTCTAATTCGAGCAGCTGTGGTCCTGGAAGATCACCCATCTGAGCTGGCCAGAGAGTAGAAAGAGGAGTAAAAACCAGCAGAACTTCAGAGGAGGCTGCAGTGCACATTCTGCCTTCTGAGTTATAGAATATCATATGACGTACTTTGCCTTTTATTCAAAGAAAAAAAATTTTTGTTTCTCCTAGCAAAGTGTGGCCTAAGGGTTGTACTTTAAATAGAATCCTCTGACAAAAATATATTTGCTAAATTGAATGAGATCAGAAAATAGAAAAAGAAATCAAAATACAGAAATAAGCAATTAAAAAGAGTGATGGATCACTGGATATCCAAGAATATTTGTTTTACTTTTCTATTTATTTTCTATGTTTTGTTCATCCAAGGTCATAGCTGACTGCCACATATACTCAGTGCTGTGTACCAATCCACTATTCTGAGTGTCTGACATGTGACCTTTTCCTTGGTTGTCTTAGCAATTCTATGACTAATAATCACACTATTTA